ACAGGAAGAAAGTAACAAAGACTCCAGTTCTAATCTTGCTTCTGCCACTTACAGCTATCTGACCTGGGGCATTAACATCTGTGAACTACAGATCTCTAATCAAAGGAGCTTCAGAATGGCCATGAATGAGCTTCAGAATGGATCTTTCACCCCACAGTATTGAGACAATCTGGGGACAAACTGTAAGTTTCAGCACCTCCAGGTGCTACATATCTAGAGAGGATGGTTAATAAGTAGAACCCAAAATGTGATTACAGAAATAGAAAAGTAGAAGAAACTATTTCATTAAGTCTCATTTAATGGAAATGTTCAAAGATTTGATCCAGTTTACCGACTTATCTAAATAAAAGAACATGTGCCAGAGAAGAAAAACAAAGTTTACACACCGTCCATGGGGAAGGAAATAAACAGCCCACAGTCTCTGGGACTTAACAGTATCTTACCTAAAGACAGAGCCTCAATAAAAACTTACAGCCACAAAGAGCTGATCCTCAGAGGCTACAAAAACAGGACTTGGTGATAAGGACCACTCAGATTCCAAGTCTGACCTGTTATTGATTAAGGATTTTCTTCTACCTATTCCCCCAAAAAGATCAGACACAGATATTCAGTAGACTCATTTAAATAAGAATATGAGAATCAGAGGAGTATAATGAAGATGAGGCAGTAGCTGGGATCTGCTGCAACCGAAAATAAAACTCAGTTCTGGGCAACCAGCTTAAGGCAAAAAAGCAAACTTGCAGATGATCATTAGGCAGAGGGAGACTCGTGATCAACCAGGAAAGGCAAATTTCTTAGAACTAATCTTGAAATCTTATGATCAGAATCTGATTCTGAGGATTTGTGCTTCTTATTCCCTATCCCTTCTTTAACTCCTATGTTAAGCTTTGGTGATTTTCCTTCTCACAACTTTGCCAATTACAAACTGCTTAACCCAGAGTCAATGCTTCACCTCTCTAAATCTCAATTTTCTCAATCCTAAATAGGGTTAGCATATATTCTCTATATGCTAACCCTATTTGAGAAAGAAAATGAAGGACACAGCATCATTCTCCAACATTAACTGGATGCTTACTAAGCATCAAAATCTTCATGTACATTATCACACTGAAAGCTCCCAAAACTATATAAAGCAAATCCATTAATTTTTATTTTATAGATAAGCTCTGTGAAATTCTAAGAGGCAAAGACAGTTGCCACTTTCACTCAGGTAAAAAGCAGAAGAGGTGAAACTCAATTTCATGTTTATGTGACGCCAAGGCATAATTTAACCAGTATACTTTTCTGCTTCCCTGTATATGTCAAGTACCTAAAAGGTCTTGGCAGAGTGTAGGTGCTCAACATATTAGTTTTGTGCCTCGCTCATTTCTCTTCTTCTAAAATTACATATAAACAGAAATTAAGTTTACTAAAATAAGATTATTGGGCTGGGACTTAGCTCAGTGGTAGAGCATTTGCCTAGCATGTGTGAGGCACTAAGTTTGATCTTCAGTCCCACATAAAAATAGATAAAATGAAGAAGGTATTCTGTCCATCTACAACTAAAAAAAATTTAAAAATTTAAAAAATCTTATTAGCATCTTATAGTTAGGTAGTTTAAAGAAATCATACTACTTTATTTTCTCTATTGATCTCTATCCATCATTGTGCACTACATCAACTACTTTACAAATAAGGAACTAAAAGGCAGCAAGCTGCTAAGTGATGTGGCCAGAGACATATGGAAGTCACTGCCAAAACCTAATAAAAACCTCGGTCCTCTTACTTCTAAAATCAACTTTTCCCCCTCACATGTCATAGCCACTGTAATAAAGAACAGATCATTCATTTTTTATCTGGAAAAGTACCAAACACATAATTCAGTATGGGGCCTCATGACCCTACCACCTTGTCAAAGGGAACAAAGTATATAAAAAATGAGGTTTGCAGGAGCAGACGGTTTTGGTCCATCAACTTTCTCTTGGATTACACTCATTAACCAAAATAAAATAATGTAAAAAATAATGTAACAGATCCCCATGTCTTTGGAAATTCACATTAAACTCACTGATCCTTCAAACTTATGTATAACCCACGAAGGGCAATTGTTAACTCCTTTGGGGCTGCAAAGGTACATTATGTCAACCCAGTCTTTGAAAGAAAAATACGACATGTGATTGAGCTACCCTAAAAGAATCCAAGTCAGCAATGAATATTTGGCAACACAAATTCATAGCATCACAGAAGGGACCTGGCAGACCTGAGAAAGACCCTTTCACATGGTATATGAGGAAACCGAGTCTCAGCGAAGTAAATTGACTTGTCCAAGATTTCACAGACAGTAGAATAAGAACCAGAAAATTAAACTGATGACTATAATGTATATCACTTGTAAATCTTGGGTAATCCAAGAATACCCTTAGAACTTTCCAGAATTACTCGTCCACATAGAGAGTAAAAGAGAAACTCAGGATTCAAATCTTGACTGCCATTTATTGGCCATGTGATCTTAGACAGTCCTTTAGTTTGTCTATAAACTGGGTCACAGTAAGTTTCACAAGTAAGCTGGAGGTAATATAAACGAGAGGCCTGGCACACAACGTGTGAGCTCCGAGAAGGAGAACATCAAGTTCGTATATTCCCAGCAGAGTTAGGCACTCACTCTATGAAGGCTCACTGAACAAATCGCCAAGAAAACAGGTATTGGACTTGAAACAGGTCAATATATAGCTTTTAAATACCAGGTTATATTGCTTTCAATTTGCATGATTTCAAAGCTGAGTGTTGACTCAGCTTTATAGAGTACTGAGAATATAAGAAAACAAAATAGCCATTTTCTGGCCATAACACATGAAAGTTCAGCAGGAAAGTTTCTGGTCTCTCAACATTGGGATTAATTCTTGTTGCTATAATGAGGCTTTGGAATTACCTAAAATTAGTCTCAGCTCTAGTATGAGCTAAATGGCTTCAAAGATTACTACTTTACCTCTCTGAGCCTAAATTTCCATAGCTGGAGGAAAAAAAAACCTACTTTACAGGGATTATACGATAAATGAGGCAAAATACCATATTTCACTGCATAATTATTGCAGGTTTGTTTTATGTCCACTTTTTTTTTTTTTTTGCAAAAAAGTAGGATGTGACCATTATGTGAAGCTTTTAAAAAAAAATTGTGCCGATATTACTTTAAAATCCTTTAAACTGTCTTTGATGAAAGATTAAGATGCACAGAACACTTGTGAATATATGTTAACACAGTGGCGGCAATTATGCAGTGAAATATATAAAAGAACACAGGATGATGTGTAGCTCAGAAGGAAATCTGACTAGAGTTACACTTCATTTCCCTTTTAGTTCACTGGAAGCTTCATTCACTCATTTGCTTTACGTTCATTCAAATGTCACTTCCTTCCCAACCCTCTCCATCTATAACAAAGCCCCCCAATAGATCTCCTTACCTTCTCTGTTTTTTTTCATGGTCCTAATGATCACTTGACATTACATTATGCATTTATTTTTCTGTGCATTGTGCCTATTCAACCATCAGGTAAGCAGGAACCTTTTGTTTCAACAACTCGGAAGATTCCTGGCATGAAGTTAGAGCTTAAAAAAATACTGTTGAATTACTGAACAAATAATTTAATAAGTATGTGAGGCACCATGTAGAAGGGGCACTTAAATCTGCTATGGAATCTGACACTATGTGTCACCTGGACTGTTGCAGCTGCCTCTAACTGTTCTGTCTACTGTCCCTTACATTCCATTTGTTATCCAGTAGCCAGACAGACCCTCACAAATCCACATCAGATCAATCCTTTGATTTAATCCCTCCAGTGGCTTTCCATCACAACTGGAATAAAGTCCTATCTCTGTTCCATAGTCTATCAAGCCTAGACCATCAGCTCTCCCGACCAGTCAACCTCTTCTCTTAACACTCTCCGGAGCATCAGATATACTAGCTTTTCTCTTTCTTGAATATGCCAAGATATTGTCTTTTTAAAAATTTTTTTTGGTTGTAGATGAACACAATACCTTTATTTTATTTATTTATTTTTATGTGGTGCTGAGGATCCAATCCAGTGCCTCACATGTGCTGGGCAAGTGCTCTACCACTGAGCCACAATCCCAACCACTTTTTCAACTTATAAATAAACATACATTTTTATTCATTTAAAACTTTAAGTACTATATATTTGTAATTAACAATATTCTGTTCTTATATCTAAAATTCTTCAACTAGCAAAGACAATGTAAAAATAGCTCTTCAAGGAATATGAATTAGAGATTATAAGTGTCAAGGCCTTTAAGGCCTTTGTGCTTGCTGTTCACTCTGTCTGGAAGGCTTTTTCCCTAGGCTGATGGTGTTCTTCCTCAACATTTAGCTCTCAGCAGAAATGTTACCTTCTAGCCAACCATGGTGGCACATGTCTGTAATCCCAGCAACTCAGGAGGTTGAGGGAGGAGGACTGTAAGTTCAAAGCCAGCCTTGGTAACTTAGTAAGACCCTAAGCAATTTAGTGAAACCCTGTCTCAAAAAAATAAAAAAAGCTGGGGATGTGGCTCAGTGCTTAAGTACCCTGGGTTCAATCCCCAGTTACCGCCCCGCCACCGTAAAAAAAAAAAAAAAGTAGGTTACCTCCTTCTAGAGTCCTCCCAGGTGAAAGCTGCCCCAACCACTATCACCCTCATCAAGTCACTCTCTGTTGGATACCAACAGCATTTCATCACCTGGAAATGACTTTATCTATTTATTTGTCCTAAGTTTCTAACCAGAATATAAACTACATGGGGACAGATATTTCTCAGGCTTACTGACTGCTTCACACTCAAGCATCTAGCACTAAATAAGCACTCAAAAAATAATTCTGAATCAGTAAACTGGATCTGAAAAGATGTTTGCTAGGATGAAAGGTGTAGGTAAGGTATGTTATTGACCTAACAGTATAGTAGGGCACTGGTTTTCTTCTAAGGGATGATCACCACTATTTCATTGAATTTCACTGAATTTCAGCCACACTTACATGGGAATGGGTACCCGAATTAGTGTCCCTTCCACTTCTGGGTTCAGATTCATTCCACTTTCTCTTATAGCCTTGATAGCTGCAGCTGTACACTGAAAACCAGATCAAAAGGTAAACAGAATTAGTAAATAATTATTACCAGATGCAAGCCCTCTGCCGATAACTGGCAACCCATCTTGGCAGAACATGGAAACATTTAGTTCTGTTACCAGTAAGATCAGGAAGTTACATTGGTGTAGAGTGCTTTGATCAAGCTGAATAGCAAACTATGTCCACTCCTGGTACCAGTGTACTGTGGAAGGAAAAAAAGAAAGAGAAGAAAAAAATAAAAGGAAAACAGCTCTGCTTCTTTGAAAAGATTTCAATGGTTTGAGGCAACACAGATCAAAACCACAATAAATCCTCAAGGGAGGAGGGCTGGTCTGTGCAAAGATTGGTGTAAAGACAGATGAAAGATTTCATACGTTAAAAATTCCAGTTGACATTTTACACTCAAAATATACCAGTGCCGATTTGGAAGGAGTAAATAAATTTAACTCATTCGCATCTACACTCACACCAAATTTATTCATGTTTTGAATGAGCAATGAATCTTAGCTAGTGTGTGCTCCAGAAAAGGTAGTATGGTACAATCACAGAAATAATGAGCTCTGGTGTCAGAAAGATCTTAGTTCAATATCCCCAACCTCTACCTACTCTGATAACCATATGACCCTGAGCAATAAGCTTACCCTCTTTGAGTTGCCATTTCATAATCTGAGATAATACGACACATAAACCTCAGAGTAGTTAGATAACATGAGCAATGCATGTTGCTCTGTGCCTGATACAAAGTAACACCCACTTAAGGGCAGATATTATATAAATATGTTATATACACTTATTAAGAATGCATTAAGCTGGGCGTGATTGTTTATACTTATAATCTCAGCTACTTGCGAAGCGGTGTTAGGATAATGGCAAGTTTAAAGCCAGAGTGGGCAACTCATCAAGACCCCCATCTCAAAATATAAAATAAAAAGGGCTGAGATGTGGTTCAGAAGCAAGTTTCATCCCTAGTACTGGGGGGGAAAAATCCATAAAACCCCCAAACAAGGCTGAGTTAATACCATCACCTAGCATGTGTGCATTATACGCCCCCTTCTCCACATCCTTTAGGGGCTTCTTCAGGTTTGCCCTGAAATGCTAGTTGGCATACTAGATACTGATTTCCTGAAGTGCCCCACCTCATACTCAAACATTGTAACTATACCTGGTATTCAATTCTAAAGGATAACAAGAAAACAGTGTGAGAGAGAGATACTGCCTTTGGCATGTCAATGTGGAATTCATAAAAACAAAGTGTCTGACATTTTCAAAAAAATTTTAGGTTTGATGAGAGCCAATCCACATCATTGGGTTTACAGGCTAATTCTTGACTTTTGAGTTCCCTTCTAGACTTTGTGGTTTAAACGAATACTTTATTTTTTTAGGTGTTTTGTTGTTTTCATTTTGAAAGATATGCCTCTTAAAAAGCTCACCCATTTCATTTTTGTTGTTGCTAATGAGAAGGGGTCTTGCTATATTGCCCATGCTATTCTCAAACTCAAGTGATCCTCCTGCCTCAGCCTCCCAAGTAGCTGGGACTATAGGCAAATGCCTGGTTTCATTTCATTTTTATTTTATGTATGTATGTATGTTCATTCTGCAGTGACAGGAATTGAACCCAGGGCTTTGTGTACACTAGGCAAGCACTCTATCAGAGCTACACCCCCAGTCTTTCATTTAATTTTTAAATGACCTTAATTTGACACTATACAGTTATTACCACAAGATCAAGAAGACAAACCAGAACTTCCACATATAAATGGATGAATTATCCCCTAAGGAGGCTATACATGGAGTCTAAGTGTATACAACATAAGTATTCAAAGAATCTAAGTGTGGCCACTGATTAAACAGTTCCTAAAATGATGCCTTTAACCACAGATGATAATAGTTGGAAGGGAATCTCTGACCTAACCAAGCACAACCTGTTCATTATGTATTCAGAGACCTGTAAGGTATGGTCAAATCCCTAAGCACAGACATGGTCTTCCCTGAGAGTCCAAGAAAGATGGAAGACCCGATCTATCATACTTCTAGTTACTGGCAGAGTTAAGAGGAGACTAAATAGAGGTTCTTCCAATGATATTATTTTGTCTATTTTTTTTTCCAGATCCCCAAGCTCAATGTATGCAATAATATGACACAGGAAGGTAAATATAAGTTAACTGGGCAAAGAAATGAAGTTAATTTTCCTTTGCAAGAGAACAGCTATCTCCCTTACTAAAATTAAATATTTCTAAAGTTAATAAAAGAATCTCCACATTAAAGGGGGAATATCCTGATCTCAAATCTCCCATTCTTCTTCCGCAGCTTCTCAGTGCATGACATAATCTACTGTTGTGACATTCCAGCATCTCCTCCTTCTCAGAGCCTGGCCCAAGTAACTCTATACAAACCTCCCTCTGTAGTATAAGAGCACCCGCTACTAACACCAAGATGTGTAGGAACTGTGCCTTGATATTTACATTTTTCACTATAAAGCACAATGCCAGGTACCTGTGCCCAGTAAAAGCTGCAGAATGAATACATAAATGATCTGGTTAAATCTATTTTTAAAACTTATCTCCTTACTTTATTTAATGTATATATCCCCTGAAATCCTCATTTTATACTTTAGCTTCTTCTATGTCTTTCCATATGAGAAAAAAATGCTACTCATTGAGGTCATTTTATAAAGAAACCTACTAAAAGAGGAATTCTTTAAGTATATTCTAGATTATATATTTTATATTTTGCATTGACATAGAATGCAGAATCTCAGGGAATTAAGAGTCATTTTCCCAGCATGACGTTTAACTACCCATGGTTTAAAGTAAAAAGGCATACATTTTTATAGAATTTTCACCTCTTATCTTTCATCCCCTCACTAAAGGAAGATGCAGTACTCCAAGGCAAACTGGTTGCTCTCAAATAGCAACACTAATCAACTGGCTATGGCGGCTTGGAGTATGGTGTCAACAAACATCAGGAAAAGTATGGTGATCAGTTAGCAAGGTCTGTCATCACTTATCTTAAGCTTATCTATACTACAGGACAAAAGATGACAAAACTTTTATAGACAGGTGAACAAATCCTTGAGAAGCTGGACTCAAGTCAACTCTGTTAGTGCCACAGCAATTACTGGCCTTCCATCTTCTTTATATCCCAATAGGTCCCTAGAATGTTATGTATATGAAAATATAAACTCAGTCTGTCTTAATCACCAATGAATTCCAAGCACCTCTAATCACATATATGGACTCCAAAAATATGCATTGAATTGAGTAAATGAATGAATCTTGAAAGGAGAACAGACTTTCATATCAAACACAGCTATATTCAAATATTGGCCTATCACAACGGTGTAAAACTAGGGGAGATATTTTACTTCTCTGAGCCTGCATTTCCTCATCTATAAAATGACATAATACTAATTTTACTGTTCCTCATGTGAAACTAAACATGAGAATGTGGTTGGCAACACAGGAGACACCCAATGCACATTGGCTCTCTTTCCTCCATAAGAGTAATAATAGAGCCTGCAGAACTTTTTCTACTATTTCTATTAGTTCAAATATCACACTGGGAAATGGGAAATGACTCTTACTTTTTTGATATTCTGCATTATTATTTTTCTGTTGTTTTGTTTGAATGATGCTATAGTTTTTATTTCCTTCTTTCCTTTACCATCATTAACTCCAGTCTCAAGCAAGTTTATGGAAGGGAGGAGCCATGTGTATCATTTATCAAGCTGGACACGTGTTAAACAAATGCAACACAGTTTTCTGTCTTCAATGCATCTGAAAAGATTACACATGTAAATCTGCACCATATCACCACAGGATGACACAGAAACACTCAGGTTTGAAAAAAAAGCCAACTACATGTGAAGTAGAAAGAAATTATATAAACACAAAGAGGATTAGCTCAGCATTTTGAAGCTATGAACCTGAGTACTCTACAGACAGCTTCTTCGCTGGAGGAAGGAAATGTTTAGTTAGAGCTATTTGTTTAATATATACACCAGATGAGATAAAGGAATTCAAAGGACAATGCAACTTATACTTCCTCATTTTGTTAAGCTTTTTTTCAAAACCCAGGGAGTTTCAACTTAGAAGAATTGCAAAGATGCTTTGGTTGAAAAATGAAGATACATTCCAACTTCCTAAGAAAAAATTGAGCTGTTAATACCTCTTTCTGCCTCATAAGATGCTCTGGTGGCCAATCCAGTGCTTCTTCTGTCAATGCCATTTGCTATTTAAAAACAGAAGTGGCTGGCCCTGTAAAACAATCTGCCTGATGAGGTCTTCAAGCTGTGTAATTAGGAGGCTATTCCCTAAATTGTTCTGCAGTGCCTATGGGATTAGATGAACAAGGCAGAGAGGCACAGTGGTTCAGAGGGGGCCAGTAAGGGCAAAGAGTTGACAATTTTCTTTTTGTCCACTTCTCTGCTCCTTAGAAACACCAGGAATAAGATTTTTCCTTCCATCAGCCTAATAGTATTCATCCACTCAAGGAAAGTTTACTGAGCACTTATGTGCCAAGCACTGTGGTTTGGTGCTGGACACAATGAATATGTTAGATATGATTCCTACATTCCAAGCTTACAATCTAGTAAAAGTGCTATGGGGAATTTGGGGGATAAGCATGTAAATATATGTTGAGCTTTTTTTTTTTTTTTGGTACCAAGGATTAAACCCAAGGGAATTTAACCACTGAGCCACATCCCCAGCCCTTTGCTTTTTATGTTTTATTTTGAGACAGGGCTCACTAAGTTGCTGAGGCTGAATTTGAACCTGTGATCCTCCTGCCTCAGCCTCCTGAGCTTCTGGGATTACAGGCATGTGCCACTGCACCCAGTTATGTATAACTATTAATAGTGATATCTGCAATAAAAACAACAATAACAACAACAACAACAAAATCTGCTGTATGAGAGAGTTAAATGTGGAAGAACAATTTAGATTGCACTTTCCTACAAAAATGAGATTAATGTTATTACTAATGTCTATTCCAACAGAGACTAGAGAGGGACCCTTTCAGCAAGGCTATCTTACCTCTGGGAAGCTGGCCATATTCACCAAAATCAACTGTGGCGACTTCATGGAGATCTGGCTGATCTGGTTTAAAGCAAGCTTCCCATCTGTAGTTACCACAGTAATATGATCAAGGGATCCTAAAAGAAAAATTATAGGGTTTTAGAATTCTGCAGAACTTTAGAAACTCCACATCTAATTCTCTATTTAATCCAGATTCAATAAACATTTAGGGATCCATTATCAGTGTGATTCATAGAAGCATCAGTGTCATGTGATATAAAGCTTGAAATGATACAATTAGGTTAAATTCCTTTCTGGCAACTAAGGGGACAACCATTCTGTTTCACCTGAACCCCAGGGGTTTCTTGCAACACAGAACTTTCAGAACTAAAACCACTAAGAACTGTTTCCCTTCCAGCTACTATGCCATTTAATAGCTATAAAACCTCTGGCAAATAAGGGAAAAATGAAATTACAGCATTTGCAGGAAAATGGGTAGAACTAGAGACTATCATGTTAAACAAAATAAGTCAAACTCAAAAAGTCAAGGGTCATATGTTTTCTCTCATGTGTGGAAGCTGGAGAGGAAAAAGGAAAACAAAAGTGGAGGTACTCTCCTAAAAATCAAAATAAGACCAATAGAGGAAAGGAGCCAAGGAGTTGGGGGAGGGTGAGATAAGTGCTGGGGAATAATTTGATCAAATTATATTGTTACATTGTGTCTACAAATGAATATGTAACAACAAATCCCATCAATATGTACAACTATGATGTACCAATAAAAAAGATTTTTAAAAATCCTTGGCAGGTCACTAATTTTATCTGCCCTTTAGTTTCCAGCTCAGTTTAAAAGAACAAAAAAACACCTTACAGAATTAAAGTGAGTACTGTAGCTAACGGATTGTAGCTAAATATGCACAACCGAGTATCTAACAAATACCCAAGAATTAGCATTTAAAAAGTTACCTTTTTAGTTCTCAACAACTACCCTGTAACATTGTATTGCTACCTCACCTTTTCAGATGAGAAAATGGAGATTTGAGAAGGATAAATGGACCATCAGAACAAAAGAAAAAAACAATCAAGAACCAAGACTCACACTCGGTTGTGCTTAATTTTGATTTTGATCAAGGTTCTTATAAAAGTAGAACTCAAATCTGGGTGTGAATCAAAATCACCAGAGTCTTTTAATTTAGATTCTTTGACCCTACTAGCCCAGAGATCCTGATTATGCAGAGACTTGGGAATTTGTGATTTAGGGGGAGTCTGAATTTTTTAACTTCACCACATGATTCTGACACACAGCCAGGTTTACAACCTTTCCCTTATGCCACTCTTAATATTGGTGTCCATATCCCCTTTAGAAGCAAGCCCATTTGAAAATAAACAAACAAAAACCCTATTAATACTTCATTATTATCCTGTATCTGATCTTTATCTCCCTCTAAATTCTGGAAAACTCTGGGCAAAATTTCCAGAAATCCAAGAAGGCAAGCAATAAAGTAAGTTACAGAGAGGACATTATTCACACTTCCTGGCTTCCCATGCAAATGATAATGAGAAGAAAACCCTTACCATTCACAGTAGGAACCACTCATGGGTGTCTCATTCAACACAAGGGGAGTTGGGAGTACAAGTCTTAAATAAATTGGAGTTGTCCTGGTAATATATTGTTAGAATGCAGTACAATACTATGGCCCAAAGATGTGATCTGAAGTACTCAGTCATATTCAATATCATCACAGGATAGAAGGTTGTTGATCTTAAGAGCTTCAATCCAGAAAATCCAGAAGGCATAAATGGTAAAGTTGCCATGATCCTAAAGACCAAAGACCTAAATTCAAATACCAACTCTGCCACTTCAAGATGGTGATACCTTGGGCAGATCCCTTCAACTTTATGTGCTTCTGTTTCCTTATCTCTAAATGGGACATGAAAAATTGTATTTATAGGGTTTTTTGAGTTTTGTTTGTTTGTTTGTTTGGTTGGTTAGGTTTTTTTAGTACTAGGGAAATAATCCAGGGGCACTTTACCATTGAACTACATCCCCAGCCCTTTTCTTTATGTTTTATTTTAAGACAGGGTCTTGCTAAGTTGCTTAAGGCCTGGTTAAGTTGCTGAGGCTGGTCTCCAACTTGCAATCCTCTTGCCTCTGAGTCACTGGGATTACAGGCACGCACCACCACGCCCAGCTGCCATTTATAGGCTTTTTAATGAGGATTCAAGAGTATATGAAAAGCCTTTGTAACTATGTCCCAATGTTAACTATTATTCCTATTGACATTTTTTCTATATTTGAAACAAACTGACCTACTTAAAATTCCTCTAAAATACTTTTCTCACCTCCGGACTCTTGCATATTTTTCTTCTACTGCTCAAATACCTTCCTTCCTTTCTGCTCAGATAACTCCTGCTCATTCATTAACAGTCAGCTATACTAGCAGCTAATAACAGAAATCTTTTCTGACCTCAGCTAGATTACAAACCCCTAGTATAAGGCCCTAAGAATCTTGCATACATTTCTATAAATAATAATGATAACTTGAACTTACTGAATACTCCTATGTGCAAACATATCATGCTAAATGCTTTGTATAATTTACTGGCTTTCAATATAACAATAATCCTATAATGCAGTTATTATTACTGCCACCATTTTATAGATGAAGAAATATAAGACAGAGAGAGTAGCTTTCTCAAGGTTATGACAGCTCTTAGTAATAGAGCCTAAATTCAACTCAAGTCTGACCATCTCCAAAGTCATAATCCTCACCACTCTGTATGGCTCTGCTGTATGGTTTTAAATCTTCTGCTTAACTTGTCTATTCCTTGACGTTAGACTTCTGAAAGCAGAAACAATGTTTTTTTTCTCTAATCTCCAAATCACCTATTAAACAGCAAACTGCCAGACACGGTGGCGCATGCCTGTAATCCCAGTGACTGAGGAGGCTGAAGCAGGAGGATCACAAGTTCAAGGCCAGACTCAGCAACTTACCAAAGTCCTCGGCAACTCAATGAGACTCTGTCTCAAAATAAAAAATAAAAATGGCTGGAGATGTATCTAAGTGCCAAAATGCCTCTGGGATTCAATCCCCAATAGTAAAAAAAAAAAAAAAAAAAAAACAAGAAAAAGAAAAAAAAATTTTAAATAAGCAGCAGGGAATAATGGGTCAATAATGCTACCATTAGTAAATAGTAAATGGATGGATGGAAGAAGGGACAGATGAAAGGAAAAGAGAAAAAGAACAAACAAAACAACTATATCTCAGACAACTGTTAAAAGGTGTCAACTATCTTGAAGATAGAAATTTAGACATGAAAGTGTAAGAAGAAAAGAGCCTGCTGGTTTAGATAGCAATGAAAGATGATACAGAGAATCTGGCAAAAAAAAAAAAAAAGACTGGCTGGATTTTAACCTGTTTCACCCAGTCTCTTTACGGCTCCAAATTCTACCCAGAATATCACACAAACATAACCCTAAAGAAAAAGAAGCAAAGAGGAAATACCAATGGCAGGCCTTTTGAAAATGGATCTTAACTCAGCTTTCCTGATTTGCCATAAGATCCTCTACCACAGAAGTCCCAACATGGGCATTTAGGCATGCAATTGTGGTGGTTCCCATTCCCTAAATCTGTATCGACATAATGCATCAAATCCTGTTCCCTCAATCCGTCCCCAGTGAGAATCTCCCTCAGCCTCATTCCTGCCCCTCATTTTCTCAGAGGTTAACATTTAACAAATTACACTCCCAACCTCTTTCCAGGCCCATCATCTTTTTAAGTTCAACAAGAGTGGAGCTTGCTGGCTAATTTTAAGTATCACATTTCTCCCTGAGCTCCTCTCAAACTGCTCTCTGGTTTCGACTGCAGAATGTTAACAGGCCAGAAAGCACAAGGGAGACACAGCACTTTATCAGCTTCATACCTAAAATAATAAGCAAGTTTAAAATAAACAGTTGGGGGAGAGTGAACGGCACGCTCTACTGTCAGCAAAGGCAGAAATGCACCATTCCAAAGGTTGACAAATGACGGGAATGGTCATCCACTTTCACACTGGATCTCATCTCTGAACTCCGTATGTTTCTGATAGTGTTTATAAATGAAGCTGTGTATTTTTCACTAGGCTTCCTTTAGAATTAGTTCATGAAATATTTTCTAGCTTCCTTATGAACTTCTCCAATCAAGATGTGAGTGGGAGTAGCCCCAGCTCCACAGATACCTTTAGAGGGGGTCCCAGGCTTAACTATAGGATGATGACAATTTGCAAAAGGCCAATTTAACAGCAATTGGATTTTTCCTGCCTGCTTGCACCATTAGCTGACAACTCACTTCTCCATCACATCTGCAAACAGTTCCCCTAGACAGTTCTGACATTTCCCACTTAGAAAAGCCACTTTCAGGAAGTTATTAATCCAAACGGAATCTTCCTGGTCAAGCTCAGGGGTATAGAAAAGCCTCAGGTGGGCAGGTTTGTAGCCATTTGGTTCCCAATAAGGGATAAGAACCACCAAATAGGACAAAGTGGAAAAATCAGACAAAAGGTATCAGATCATGAGTCTAAATACCTAGATGTGTTTATACTGTAATCACAATAAAACTCCCTTTTTTCTTGAAAGTATAATTCCATTAGAGCAAAGACCATGACTATTTGTTCACTACTGTGCATTAGCACAAAGCCTCATTCACAGTAGAAAAATATTTGCTGAATGGATAAATAAATGTAGTGTTAACAATGTGTAAGCACTGTATCTATTTTAATACCCACCTCAACACTATAAGGTAAGAATCAGACAAAGAAATTGAGGGTCTGAAAAGTAAACTAATATTAGTAAACTAATTGGTGGGTAATCAGTGTCAAAAGTGGGACTAAAACTCAGCTCAGCCAAAGCCATGCACCCCCACCATTAGCCTGCAACATACACAAAGCAATGCTCAGATACTAACCTGGTGAGGTCCTTATATTGAGAGTCTTATTGAAATTATCCTTAAGTGCTTCTATCACAGATTTCATTTCTTCATCCACCTCTTCCAAGTTTATTATATCCTCAACCAAGGTTATGTTAATATTCACTCTGGTTTGGGACAGTCCTTTTCCTTTAGCTAGAAAGTCAACATTCAATGAAAAAAAAAAAAAACAGCAGCATAAACAAACAATAAGAAACTGATTTGTAAAAGTGCCTACTGTGTGCAGGGCAAAATGTCAAGTGCTATAAAATCATAAAACATTACCTTGGCCCTAAAAAAGAGAGCCTCTATTTATTAAATATCACTACGTACCCAGCACTGTGCTAAACATTTTTGTAGACATTAAAGAGGGCACAGACTTTATAATTAGAAAGTTCAGATATAAAATCCTAGCTGTAATCTATGGCCATATCACTCTGAACGTGCCTGACCTTGTCATAAAATCCTGGTTATAACACATACTAGCTTTTTGACACTACACAAGTTATTCAATCTTCTTCAGTATCAGGTTCTCTACTTGTAAAACAGAGAAATATTAATACCTGTGTTGTAAACTTGCTACAAGAATATAAATTAAGTCATTCAAATACCTAAAACAGTACTACCCACACTACAGGAAATCCATAAGTAATCCATTCCTTATTTTTCAGAAAAATAAACAGAAGATGAGAGAGGTAAAGTGACTTGCCTAATGTCACAGGTCAGGAAATGATAAAGTCAAGATTTGGTCCCAAAACTGCCTAATTTTAAATCCATGAACTTTGCATTAGACTATCTCTACAAAATCTAATTGGAGAGAGAGGAAATATGTTAACTCATCTAAAAATGAATATTAAGACAAGGTTACACAGAACATTATTTGGCTGGTACAAAGAGTAGTAGTTTAGAGACATTAAATGTTACCCCAATGATAAGTGAAAATGGCTTATATTTTAGAAAATCAACTGCTTTGGAAGCTGAGCAAAATTTTATTTTGTGTCTAAACCATCATAGTGATTTTCCCTATGCATTTTATAATGTTATATGACACAAATATTCTTGTATTTTCTATGGGCCCAAGAAAGGATAAAAAGAGCAAAAAATATTTAAATAATACCTTTGATAATGAATATTACACTATCATTAAATATCTAACAAACTTTTTAGAGTCACTCAGCAAATTTTATTGAGTATCTACAGTTAGCTCAATCCTGTGCTACTTCTATAGCATATTCTAATTTCCAATACAATTGAATACATTCTTCTATTTGATAATCAAAATAGCTCTCTGAGGTAGGAAGAATAGAGATGATTATTGTGTCCAGTGTACAGATGAGAATTGAAGGCAAAAGTCATTTAAATCTCTTCCCCAAAGTAACCAAGCAGTAAACAGCACAGTGATTTTTCAAAAAACATTTATTCACTTACTCATGTCACCATCATGCTTGAAACACTATTACTCTTGAGTTAATAGGCTAATAGCTAAGAATTTTTTAGAACAGCTGAAAGATATTGATGTTTAAATTCAGAAATGCAAGTTCCAAACAGGAACTTAATAATAAAAGTAAATCTATTCCTAGACATCTTATGATTGTAGAAAACCAAGGACAGAAATATTGAAAAGGCCAGAGAAAAGACAAATAATCCATAAGGGATCAAAATTTAGAATACTTTCTAAGAATAACAGCAGGAGCCAGACACAATGGAAATAATATCTTCAATTTTTTTTTAATATCTTTTTTTCCCTTGGTGCTTGGGATCAAGCCTAGGGCCCTGTGCACAACTTCTGACACTTTTTTTTAATGTTGCTGGCAATCAAACTCAAGGCATACATGCCAGGCAAGCACTCTACCACTGAGCCACATCCCTAGCCACAACTTAAGACTCTTTAAATGAAGTATCCAGTTAAAAATTTAAAGAGATGTCCATTAATATTAAAATGGATAAACAGTGGTATTTAGGAATGAAATGCCATGCAGCCACGAGAGAGAATGCTCTACAACTTCAGAGAATTTGAAAAGAGACCAGATAAAAAAAAGTTCAGACTTACAGTACAAAAGCCACATACAAAAAAATACGCTGAACAGTACAAAGCAAACCTATGCCATTAGAAATCACAATGATAATTAATTGCAAAGGGTAAAAGGTGGTAGTTACTAGAGGGAACACAGAGGGTCTTTGACATGCTAAGAATGTTCTATTCTTTAATTTGGGTGCTGATTACACATGTGATTTCATTGTGTGAAAATTATCAGGAGAAATATAAAATGGAAATTTTAAAATGCACAGAAATGAGCATAATAAAAATACTGTCAACTAAAAACCTGTTGGAAGTACTCAAAGTTGTGTTTAAATAAAAACTTATAGGATTGAGTTCCTATAAGAAAAGAACAGCTGGGCATGGTGGGCAAGATTTGGGAAGCTAAGGCAAGAAGAGCACAAGTCTGAGACCAAACTGAGCAATTTAGCAAGGCCCTAAGCAAATTAGCAAGACCCTGTCTCAAAACAAAAAAATAAAAGAGAGCTGGGGATGCAGCTTAATGGTAAAGCAACCCTGAGCTAAATCCCCAGAAGCATAAATAAAGAAAGAATAAAAAGAGAGAGGCACTCCCCTATTCATATCGTGAGGCTAATATACTCTTAAAGTTAAAAACAGACAACAGTAATAAAGAAAACTTTTCTGCCCATCAATATTAGAAAAGTTACATTAAGGCTAATCTCACATAGAAATGTAAACTAAAAAATCCTGATACTTAATCCTAAATATAAACTCAATAAATCCAGAAACATATATGCAGATTATATATCAAGAAATGTACATGCAAATTATGTATCAAGAATAAGTAAGTGGGCTGGGGATGTGGCTCAAGCAGTATCGCGCTCGCTTGGCATGCGTGCGGCCCGGGTTCGATCCTCAGGACCACATACAAAGATGTTGTGCCTGCTGAAAACTAAAATATATATATATATATATATATAAATAAATATTTTTAAAAATTAAAAATAAATAGAACAAGTAAGGTTCGTACCAAGAATTTAACAGTGTTTAACATCAGAAAAGCTACTGACATTGAATTATCACATTAATAGATTAAAAGAGAGGAAGAGCTAAGCACTGTGTGGCACACCTGTAATCATAGCAGTTTGGGAGGATGAGGGAGGAGGATTGCAAGTTCAAAGCCAACTTAGCCTGAAGCCCTAAGCTACTCAATGAAATCCTGTCTCAAAAAAAAAAAATAAACTAATTAAAAGGGCTGGGGATGTGGCTCAGTGGTTAAGCACCCCTGGATTCAATCCCTGGTAACAAAAAAAAAGGGCAAGGGTTGGAGATGTAGCTCAGTGGCAGAGTGCTTGTGTAGCATATGTGAGGTCCTAAATTCAATGCCCAGCACCACCAAAAAAAAAAAAAACCACATATATACACACACACACACACACACACACAAGAATGTTCCTAACAGCCTTATTTATTTTAGCTCAAAACTAAAAG